GAACGGGACACGGAGCCGATACCAACGCGAACTGGAGTCACGGAAAGCTGCGGAAAAACCGGCTACGCGCCAAAGTTCCGAGCGAGAGACGCGTTCTCCGCTGATACTTGCAGGCAAACAGCAATTTGCCGTAATTGCGTGGCGCCGTGAAAGACTCGAGCTTGGATGCTTACCTGCAACAGAAACCAAAGGGGAAAAACGTTATTGGCGTGACGATGAAAAAAGCGAAGAAGAGTCGCGTGACAAAGTGGAGGGAACGAAAAACGCTTTGCGAGTCACGGCATGCGAATCGATGCCATTCACCGTCCCGTGTTTCTCGCGTTTTCGCCAATACGACAAACGATCTCGTAAAATAAACCGCGGAGAACGCGGTCTTTAAATACTCGGCTTAAATTCTACGTGCACTGAAAAATTTTCAATTGGTCACGCGTTGGACGGTCGACCACTTTATCGAGTCCAGTCTGTGTTTCGACTCGACATCGAGTCAATTTGTTTTTATCAGATTTCCCGATGCTTTCTACGAACAACGCTCTTAGTCATCGAGGTCAGAATTCCTCCACGTTGGTTATCCATGACCTTTCCTCTTCTCATAATATATTCGTGTATCTATACTCATCGAGAATCCGCACGACACGCTAGGCTGCATTCATCGAAGGGTTCACGATGCTAAGTCAAATAAATTCTCAATCTCATAATTTCCTCGCGAATATCTTCTTTCGTTAACTTCGTCTTACCGCAAAATCGCGATAATGGCGTGTATGATATACGAGATCGGGCTACCAGTTAATTGGTACCGGCTGCAACGATATTTCCAAACCGGTGCAAGTGTGACAACGACCATACTCAAATCCACGTCATTCCGTACTATCTGACAGCGAACCGTTAAGTTCTGACCTTTGCACATGGCCCAACATTACGCTTTCCCCATTACGTAGGGCAATCAGGATCCTCCCCTTGCCCCTCAACACCTACAAATAAAACAACATATAAGAAGTGCAAGCATTCGACCACGAGGCGAGTCTTTGGTCTTTAGTCTTGATTCTTGAGTCTTGTGTACAGTTTGGCCCTGATTTGAACAATTATTTTAACTTCGCTACTTTATTGTAATATTATGCTTAATCATTTTCGTGAATAAAAGCCTACGAAATTATAAAAGCACGGTCGACTTATTGCTCACCTACTCCTTCTTTTATCATTAATTTTACGTGACACAAGCCGCGCCATACAAGGCGAGAAGAGAAGCTGAAAATCGTGGTTGGACTATTGGATAACCGTCTCGGTCGCGTAAGCACCGAGAAAACGCGTGGAAATTTTAATATCTCGCGACATTGCTATCGCGATAACGACGCGTGACGTATGCCTGATAAGATCGAGCTGTTTCGCTGGCGAGTCGTTCAATGTAATTGGTAATCGACGAACGTGAATCGAAAACAGGAACGATTAGGAGCTGAAAGAACCGCGACCCCTTTTTCTCGCGCTGGCTTTTCATCGAGACCCACTAAAGGGAAAAACAAACAGTCGAGCAGCAGCCCTTTCGCCCCGGCGGGCCAGAGGGAAGTGTTTTTGTCGGTGTCGTTTCTCGTTTCGACCGCGAAAAGGATATACGTGGACGCTCATCCTGTCACAGAACTTTGTTTTGCCTTTGAGTCCTTTAGGCGACGTGGGTGGTCCTTCCTTTCACGGATCCTTTTCTCCTTTTTCCTACCGTGATATCGTGGAGCGTACCAGACGAAAGACGAGTTTGGTGATACGAGAAGGATCCCTACCAGTTCTGGAACCGTACGGTTGGAACGATAAATCGCGTTAGTGTGTTATAAACGCTAAAATAATTTAGTTTAGCTGTCAGGATCGTCGACAGACAAAGGCAGGAAATACGCTTCGGAACGAAGTTTCCCGAGGTTTTACTTTAACAGGAATAACTTTGTCGTAGGATCCTGCCTATTTCGACCGCGCAGAGACGTAAAATGAAAAAGCGATAAGAGATATATCGTAATACGTAATGTCTAATAATAAATGCACGTGTCGAATCGTATTTTCCTTTCGCTAGATCAACGATTGCCAACGAATACGTACGAGAATTCGAACGCGCGATTGAATTATCGAGAAATATTCCTCCACGCTTTGAAAGATAACCTACGAATAGATAGAAATCTTTGACGCTGTAACCGAGAACGAGTATCGGTGTAAGAAACCAGCCGAGTCGTAATTTAGTGTACGTCTGGACGAGCTTTAATCGAAATGCCAGAGACTATTGGTGGAAATGTCGGCTGACAAATGAATAGTACACCGAGGACCGATTGTCTGGTCTGTTAGATCCCCTTCTATGACCGGAGATACCTGGTAATCCATACGATTATTACTCGCTAGGATATCCAGGCTCTATTGTTCGCGCAACACCTTCGCTCCGCGGAATAGATTTGTCAGCAAATTCGTACAATAGCTCCGCCTTTCGAGCCAGACCTGGCCCGTTCGACCTCTCGTCGAAAACAGATGGAACGCTGACCCTTCTTACTTAGTCAATACCAATGATATAAAATTAATCGCCGAATATCTCGTACACGCAGACTGGCGAAAGCATTGGAACACGCGTTCGGGATCGTCGAGTCTCGCGACAGCGCTAATTTTCAAAATATTTCTAGAACGCATATGAGCATAAAAGTTTCCAGTGGTAAGCGACGAAACATCTTCGTAACATGGGCTTTTCGTAACATTAGAGTCGAATTGTTTTTCTTACGAAAAGAAGAAAAAATTATTTAATTCGAGGGGAAAGAAACGAAACAGAAATTTGTATAAATCGAGGGATAAGCGATTCGTACGATACGAACCTATTTGTTGGTTTTTCTAACTATCTGATCCTCAATTCGTACAGAATGTCCCAGTAATTATGGTGCAATTAGCAAGCAGATGATTTAATACGAAGATATAAATCCTCCTAATAAATTAATCGTGATATAATCAAGAAGGAAGTGATTTTATTAGGGGAACTTATTTTTTCACATAAAACCACCGCCTTGTTGATCGTACCATGATTACCGGTACGTTCTGTATAATAAGAATTCACGATCAGATAAGCAAATTCAATCGGTAGGAGACCATTTAATCGTCTCAATATCGATGGAAATGGCGATGTAACGCGACTATACGATGTACGTAAAATTTCAAGAACTACCTGATGTTCGATCAAAACGCATAATGTTACGTGTTTGATTAAAAACCGTGATAGAACGATATCATAGAAACGAGTATGTACGGAACACGAAAGAAGAAACTGTCTCACGCGTGTGTAATCATTTTACGTAAATATTATGTGTAGTTATTTACTCGTTAGTTAATACCACGTACTCGTACGATGGATTTTAAAACAGGAAATATCAGGTTGTCCGGAAAGTGTCTTTCTTTCGCAAACGTGTTTTTCACAACAATGCACCTTCGTACAAACGTGAAACCAAGTCTGTGAAATGTTGTTTATCTCAACAGAACAAAATGGATCGTACGTCATTCGATAAAATAATATAAAACAAAAAACGTTGCGTGCCTGTTATTTCCTCATAAAACGAAAGAAACTCCTCGGACAACCTAATACATACGCAATCGCTCACGTGTCATTGAAAGCTTTAATAGTCCACACTCGTATGGGCGCAAGAATAAAACAGTCGATCGTTCGCTAATTGAAATTTCGTTCGAATAAAAACGATATAGCTGTACCGTGGTCTATAAAGAAAGGAAGAAACAAAAGCAGAAGCATGGAGTTTGGCGCGCAAAGGCAGCACGCGGCATGGCACCGGTTCTGGCAACGTGTAATCGAAGCAAAGGAAGGGACTCGTTTCCTTCGGGCCTGGCCGCGATCTCGCGGATATTACGTCGCGTTATATCACGCGCGCGAACACGACTCGGCCTCGCTTTCGACGCTCGCCTTTCCTTTTCTGTTCTGTTCCCTTCCTTTCTTCGGAAGGATCCGCGGCACCGAACACGGGCCGAGCAAAAATCAGGAGCAGGTTGCACCGGTATCCTTATTCGCGAACGCGCGCCGGCTAAACGAGTTTTAAAGTGCCGGTTTTATTGTCGGCAAAGCGCGTACAGCAACTCCTTAAGCGGCTCAGCCAACGACCAGGATATCGCTCGCTTCGACGAATCCTCGGAATCGTTCGCGTTCGAATCGCAATTTAACCGTCTATCGCTCGATTGCCACGCCAATCCGTGCTAGGACGTGGAACATTCGGATTCGCGACGCTTCGCGTTACGAAAGTATCGTGGCAAATTAGCCGCATTGAAACGTAGCGTTTCGTAGTTTCCCGTCCCGATCAACTCTCGCAATCGTGCGAACTTTATCAATTTATCGCTCGATCACCACGCCAGGCAATGATAATTTCCGAAACGTTAAGATTCGCGGTATTTCGTGTTGCGAGAGTATGATAATTAGACACGGATACGTATGCAAATTTGTACTTTTAATACACAGAAACGAAGCAGTCGAATTCAAGTGGAACTTATTTCGCCGAGCAGAACCTTACAACGAACGATATACGTATTTTCCACGTTTTCCACATTCTTCTATAATGTTCTTGTAGCATTGAATTCTCTGGAAACTCACAAACAGCCGCAGGGCAATCGTGGTTAACTAATCGAAACGAGATATATATACCATGACATTTCACTATGTAGTCCAATGTTGCAATTTGCACTGCTTCGCGTTGCAAGGATATCGTGGCAGGTTGGTCGAATCGAAACGCGTTAAGCCGCCGTTTCGAAACGTATCGATGTTTCGTCATTGGAAAATGATCTTTTTCAATGTCTTCTTCTTCCTCTTTCTATGGGAACGCGGTAAAGATATCGGAGCGGACAGGTTCGATATCCTCTTTCCAACCACGGTATCGCTCGTTTCGTGAAAGGATAACGAAGAGGTTCTTCCGCGCGATATCGAGAAACGATGTTTTCGAGGAGAACGCCTCGATACCACGCCTACTGCAAACTCGTGCGACCCACACGATTCACCTTTCTGCTTTCTGCTTTCTACTCGGTAGGCGAACAGCGATAGAACGTGAATTCTAAAATCGCTATCTCGATGTACGAATTATTTTGAAAAATAATCTTCCACTGATCACAGCGATTCGTTTTGGAAAACGCGAAACAAAGAACGTTACGTGCAGTAGTTTCCATAGTTGTAAGTTACAGG